CCAGGTGTTCCGGAAGAGTAAGCGTCTTCTGTTTCATTTATGATACCCGCCATGCAAATCTTTGTCATATCCAAGTACAAGTCATATCAACTGAACGAGAATCAAGTTATATACAGTATAACCATGAAGGGCACTAATTAGTGTACGAAAAAAACGTGAAACTTCAAATGACTCAGGGACACAGAATATTTCCCTATGAGATCAAAGTGGCGACCATAAAACTTGTCCAACGTTTTCATCAACTTGCATCTCTCAAACCCTGCGTAGTTAGTTTGTTAGTCAACAGCCGACATCTATCAAGAACATTTTGATATTTACAGCAAGCTCTGATAAAACGAAGCAACTGCGACATGTAAATTCCGTAGGTTGGAGAAGCAGGAATGTTACTATCAAGAAAGGGAAAGTTAACAATGGAGAGTTAAAATCTTTGCGATTATCGTATAACCTTGTGTTGAGTTCCCCTGGCAGCCGAAGAAGAGGAATCAGTAGTTTCCTTTATTTCAAGTTCTGAAGGGTAAATGTCATCGACGTGGTCAATAAAAACCTTATTATTTAAAGACAATACAAAAATTATAATTTTCATCTCTTCTGATTTATTGCTGCTTAATTACATTTTATGAATGAAAAACGTAATGTCAAAAAGAAGAAAAACACAGAAAGGTTTTAAGTTAAATGAAGTTATTGGAAAAACAAATGCGTTAAAATGTGGCATATTTTCCTTTGAATATAAGACGTTCTTTTCGATCAAGAAATGTTGCTCCTTAATTATGCCTAATGAATAATGACAAAAATAATAATAATTACAATAAGTTATTATTCTAATACTAATTCTTATGTTAATGACCGCAGCAACTAAACAACAACTGATCTGATTACAGCGTTACTAAATTAGAAGATTCCACCACATGGGGGCATTATTCAATGCTTACTTGCTTATATATTCAGTATTGAATTCCAGTCTCATGTCGTCTGCAACCCTGCAGCAGCCATTGTGTAGGCTTTGAGAGAAATCTAACTTTAATCAAGGAGTTACTTTGAAGGGACATAACTCTGCAGGTTAAAGTAACACTACACCATTTTTATGGTGGGGCATAATAACTTATTTACCGGTTAGCTTGTAATTACAAATAAGTTTATAAACTAATAATAAACTTTATTTTAATGACCTTAGCGACTAAACAACAACTGATCTGATTGCAGCATCATTAAACTAGAAGATTCCACCACATGCGGACATTGTACGATGTGTACTTGTCAATATATTCCATATTGAATTCCAGCCTCATGTCGTCTGCATTCTGAAGCAGCCATTTTGTATAGGTTTTGAGAGAAATCTAACTCTAAGAAAGGAGAGTTACCATTATGGGACATAACTCTGCAGATTAAGGAAACACCACACCATTTCTATGGTGGGGCCTACAGTGTATAAACTTATTACCGGTTACCTTGTAGTGATAATAATAATAATAAAATAGATGTCAAAAAGGAGGAAAAACACAAAAAGGGGGTGAAGAGAAATTAATTTTTTGGAAAAAACATACAAAATTAAGCGGTACAATATTTTCTCTGAATACCAAAAGTTCTGTGTGCTCCTGTAATTTTACTAATTAACTATTTCTAAGGAATAAACTATAAAAGCAGATATTGAAAAGGAGGAAAATGCACAAAAAAAAAATTGACATTATCGGAATAGGAAATCAATTGAAACTGAAAAATAATTTGAACTGAATTTGAGAAAAAAAACAATTCTCTGCTCTTGATATATTCCAACTTATCTTATGAATGAAGGAAAATTAAATGTCAATAAGGAGAAAAACACAGGAAAGGGTTTAAGATAAACAAAGTAATTAGAAAAACACATAAAATCAAGGGGTAAAATATTTTATACTGAATACCAAAAGTTCTGTCTGCTTTAGTAATTTTACTAATTAACTATCTCTAAAGAATAAAAGATAAAAGCAGGTATCGAAACGGAGGAAAAATACAAAAAGGTTGAAGATATTATCGGAATAAGAAATCCATTGAATTGAAAAATATTTTGAACTGAATTCGAAAAATAAAAATCTCTGATCCTGATATATTTCAACTTAATTATGAATGAAGGAAAATGAAATGTGAAAAAGAAGAAAAAAACACCGAAGGTTTAAGATAAATGAAGTTATTGAAAAAAATGCGTTTAAGATGTAGCAAATTTTCCACTGAATATAAGAAGTTTTTTCTAATCTAGAAATGTTGCTACTTAATTATGTCTAATGAATATTAAGAATACAAAGAGAATAAACGACGTGTAAAGACTATTCCTACTTTCAGATCGGTGTTCTTAGCCAAATCATCAGAATCAACGAAAAACATTGATGACAAAACTTTTAACGTATATATATGATGTCTTGGGCACCCCTCCGAATTCTATATCATATTCTACATTTATAACAAGATGTCTTTTGGAAAGAAACTCAGCAAAAGTAAAGAGTAACCATAGAAAATTCCGCCTAAAATACGAAACTATGGTTCATTTCAGATCACTGTATCGTATCGAAATACTGAAATGGGGAGACACGTTGAAATTTTGTCATTTATTTACTTGTCTATATTTGCGTTTTTGTCTCCTAAGTAAAAGCTTTGTGATAAAGCTACATATTTGTTTAGTACGATGACAAGTTGGATCTTCGGTAAAATTAAAGGTTTTTTTTCTTATTTAATCAGAAAACAAATAGTTCTGTTATGTTTATAATTCTTTGCTCAGATAAGAAATGCTCCTAAAATTTAAATTGAATCTACGAACATATTTTAAGTTGGATTATATTTTTTAAGATAAGTTTTAGAGATGCTGAATCACTAATTAGTTAAGGTCTGATTGTTAATTTGACCTATTCAAATGTTTATTATTTTTACATATGATAATGCTACCAAGTTATAAACTGTATCTCTCAAGAATATGGCGATTGTATCAGCTGTATTCATATACTGTTTCATGTATGTACGGATTATTATTACTATTATATTGTTTAATGGCCACTCGAAAATCAGAGTCATTTAGTGCCAAAATACGGTATAAAAGGGTCATTTACAAAACCAAATATATCAAACCGCAACTAAAAGGTAAAACATTTCTGAAAAATAAAGATCATAGTAAATTAAAACGTACCAGTTGCAAAACATGTCAAATTTCATTGTAAAGGTTTATTGCAGGTAAGAAATCGATGATTTTCAACACAGAAAATAAATTCAATACGTCTTTCATTGAGGGAGCATTAAAGTCTGAGCATTCGATCAAAAAAATGTCTATCTGGGTTGGTTGTTTAATACATGAATTATTTAATTCTTATTCTGCATAAATTTTAGCATTATCTCCAACGATCAACGCAAGCGCTAATTAAACTCTAACGAATATCATTTAAAACGGAAACGGAACATGAACCACATGAAAACTACCCAAACAAACAAAACGTTAATGGAACTAAAACTATGCTATTTTGGCAAAGAGAGATAACTCCAAATTGTTTGCAAAGTAAACACCGTTGGAAGCCGATATCAATGATTTAACAAAAAAATAAACAATAATAAAACAAAAGAAAAAATACCAATCTGTCTCTTTTATTTTAATGACACTTTACAATATTTTACTTGTTACAGATTACTGATGGAGAGATTATACCCAACTCATGCATCATAGACGTTAGCAGAAAACGGAATAAAACGAAAGCCATTCTTTTCCATCTCTCTGAAAGTCTCAAACGCGAATGGGGAGGAGGCAAGTCGTGCAATGAGTCGTCTTCTGAGGATGAGTCAGACGACAATGATCCAGACTATAACCCGTCCTCACCAAAACGATTTGTCGATGATGACTCTGAAGACGAGGAATCAAAGTGTATGGAATTTAGCACCCATAGGCCGAGAGAAAAAAAAAGAAAACAAAGTGAATTTGTCGATGATGACTCTGAAGACGAGGAATCAAAGTGTATGGAATTTAGCACCCATAGGCCGAGAAAAAAAAATAGAAAACGAAGTGAAGAAAAAAATCCAAAAAGAAATCGCAGAAAATGTGAATTGTGCTGCCTGTCTGTAATCAATCTACCTAGACATTTACGTGTGGCGCACGACAAGAAGAAAATGGAAAGCCTGGAAATATCACGATCAATGAAGGCAGCCTCCAGTGTGAAAAAGTATCATAAATGCTCATATCCCGGATGTTCTTCACATGTCATTAGGTTAGGTCAGCATATAAATAGTAAACATGAGAAATCCGACGTTTCCTCTCAAGAACCAAGGTTAGAAAACACAATACTCAAAGATTTCTACACCTACCTTATGGGTCCAGAAAAGATGAAAGCAAAAAATGTTGCCGAACAACACTGTTATCAAGTTGAACGTATTTGGAGTGCAGTAGGTGAGAGATTTAACATGAAAGATTTAATGGATCCATCTAAAGTTAGAGACAAATGGCCACAACCAGCAAGGGAGAAACATAAACCTGGGACCGTTAAAAGTTATCTATCTTCACTGAGGGAGTTTTGTATGTTCTTAAAAGTAGAACACAAATCATTGGACGTCGCTGCCTTAGAAGATGGAATATCCCGTTGGAATACAACTATGTTAAAGAGGAACCTGAATGCTTTGTCATATATGTGTCATTAAATCAAATAGCCTTTGCTCGTTCATTTACCGCAAAAATCGCCGAAAACGATCCACGCGTTCCAAAGTTATTGTCGAAAACGCTAAAAACACACCTGAACGAGATCATCGAACGGCACTGTAACATAGCTCTTCAGTAGTGACGTCACAAGTGGAAGCGCGCGTTCGGTCCCACTCCGGCAGCCATTAGTTTTTCAGCAGAAGCCAGGTTATATCGTTTCGTTTTTTTGGCCTACTTGAATGTTATTCGACTAATTTATACTATAATTGATGGTAAAGTAACAGTAGTGTCATCATCTGTGGACTGTTTTACTTAGGTTTCAAATATTTGTGAGCGTTCGTGGATTTTTCTGTCAATTATTGTGACCATGGGTGACCCGTCGCCGACTGCCGGACGTTCAGGAAAAAGATGTGTTGTTTTCGGTTGCAGCAACACCAGTAAAGATGGAGTTTCCCTTCATTTCTTTCCATTGAAGAATGATGATATTTGTAGAAAGTGGACTTCATTTGTAACAACGAAAAGGAAGAACTGGGCCGGAGCCACCAAACATTCTGTAATTTGTTCGAAACATTTCGACATGTCCTGTTACCCGGCGAAGTATAAGATCATGGAAAGTTTAGGCCAGTCAGTCCGAAGAAAGGACCTGCTTCCAGATGCTGTTCCATCTATACACGCTTCAGAACCAAGCCCGATGTCTAATATTACAGACACGCCACCACCGCCAAAGAGACAAAGAATGGCTTTTACTAAGAGAGAAAATGCTAGGGTATGTACAATTTAGTAATGACGTGCGTATTGGTATTTTCATAATTTTGTTAAACATTCAGACAACTAGAATTCTAGTTAATGTTTCATCGGTCTATATTACACATATGTATAATGGTGCCCCAACTTTCTATACTGGGAAGAGAATCAAATATACAGCATGTACATTTAAAGTGAAGGTATTATACCAGTATCAGCTAGTATATACCAGTCACACCTTTTTGTCTCAAATTTGAATTATGATATGAAATTTTAAAAGTCATTATTATTTTGATTTTGATCATTTGTTTTCCCCTCCAGATACTGTCACAGCATTTCCAAGCAACAGAACTGATGGAGATTGACCATGATGTTGACAACGGTTCGAATAATACCATGGTGTGCGGTATGGAGAGTGATAACTCAACACCACATGTAAGAATTTGAGGATAAACAATTCAAAGTGCAATTAGTTCATGGAGAGGAAACATCTGACAATTTATTTTAGCATATAGAATCTAAATGGTATTAATAGAGTTTGTAACTATGTCCTAGTTTTTAGCATCCATTCCGTAGAAGTTAGAACCAGATTCAGCTTTGTTGGATATATTTTGATATTGATACCAGATCAGAGTTATTTTAAGAAGTATTTGAAAAGTGCTTTATTATAACAGTCTTATACCTAGATTAAAAATAAGCTTGTTTTCTTAAAAGTTAAAAAACTAGTATTTTTTCTTGATATTACGGAGTCTGATATAGGCAGATAACAGAGAGGCATGGGGCAGAAGGGATACTTATGTAACAGGGTTTTCATGTGTTTTATTGAAGTTTGTGTATTTTAACGTTTTTTTAGACACCATCAGGATCAACAACAGCTTTAACAAGAACCTATGGTTGCCAAGTAGGTTTGAAGAAGCCAGCAAGAAGGTCAAAGAAAATACAAACAAGTTTTAAAACTCATAACCAAGGTACAGTGATTAATCAAAATTATGCATCAGAAATTGATATTGGGTGTAGTTAAATTTATGCAGATGTATTAACAGTTCATCATATTGTAATGAAGACAGTTCTGTTTGATTTGCGAAAAGGAAGATAAATATACACTCAATCCTCGGAGTTAAAATTGCAATTATAATATCTTGTTCACAAAACAAATGATTTGTGTAGGGTGTTTGATGGAGTCCCCCCTACAATTTTTTGCAATTTTTAATGAATTTGTTTTCCAGTACACTTTCGAGTTTCGTTAGTAATACACCCATCTTGAATCCTGATGTTAGTATTATGACCTTGTTTCCAGTGCTTTTGTAAACTGGTACAACCTTTTTCTTCAGAGTTTTTTTAATTCTGGTATCTGCATTATGGATGGCGGATTGTTAAATAGTTACACTTTACTACTACTCTCTGCTCCAAAGGAACAGGTGCAGCCCAATGTTACGTTGCTGTAAAGGTGTTGAATAGGAGAAAGTTATCATATTCTGAGCTCAGAAAAAAAGTGTTTTCATTCTCTTAGTGTGTTACACCACTTTTATCATTTTTCTTTATTGTAGTATGTCAGACGACATCCAATGAATGCAAGTCTGTGGCCATCCAGTGTGATATTATAAAACCAGAACAAACGTCAAACACCAACATGTGCGAGGACCACAATCTTACTTTTGATCATGATGGCACAGAGGAGGACAATGGAGATATGGATGACCATAGTCCCCAAGAAGACTTGCTTGACAGTTCATTTAATGCGTCATTTCAGAGTGAAGCAGATGAAGATGTTGACTCTGATAGCAACATAGATGATGAAAGGTGATTTTTTGTTATGATCAATTGTAAAGTTAAATGATTGTTATTAAAGGTCACTAGACCTCTGTGTTAAAAAGGTTTGTGGGTCATAATTAGTAACATTTTACCACATAACGGTACTTGTACATCTTCATCTATATCACTTTCTTTATCCCACCACCACTTTTTGGATCTCTTGTGTTATTACTAAGGCTAAATTATTACTCAGTGCAAGTGCCTTTCGTTGGCCTGGCAAATAATGACAAAATACACTGCCCAAACCAATAATTTAAAGTAAAAATTTTTTTTTTCAGGGATGATGGAAGAGACAGAAAATTTTTGGTTTACGAATCAGAACTCCTAAAATTATTTTCAGCATGCCCAAGATGCTCCAGCCCAACATTTGGACATATTCAACAGCTGCGCGGTACAGCAGTGAAAATTCTACAGGACTGTGGTTTTTGTTCCTATACCAATGTTTGGAAGAGCCAACCAATGATCGGGTCAATACCAGCTGGAAACTTACTGCTTTCATGTGCAATTCTGTTTTCTGGATCGCTTCCAAGCAAATCACTGCGGATGTTCAACTTTATGAACATGGCCACAATATCTTGCGATACATTTTTGCAACATCAGAGGTATTTTCTTCAGCCAGCCATATTGCAAGTTTGGAATGAGCATCAGCAGTGCTATTTGGACAGTGTGATTCAAGAAAATAGGGAAATTGTATTGGGAGGAGATGGACGTGCAGATACCCCAGGCCACTCTGCAAAGTATGGCAGCTACACGATGATGGATTTAGATGAATCCAGAGTAGTCGACGTGCAATTGGTTCAGGTAATTGTTTTTAGTTCACCTGTCAGCTGAAAGCTCTTGTTCTATTGTGATCATGTTTTGTTTTCCCATATGGAAAAAATGGGTCAGAAATGGCCCCTTGGGGGCCTGCAATGGGCAAACAGAGGCCATGTGAACTTGCAAATGTGAAGTAAATCTGTCCATACATGTCACTAGAAAATCTGTGATTTGTTTTGTACTATTATCATATGATTCCATCATGGGAGTGTAACGTAGACAGAAAAATCTCCACCTGATGGTTGAGATTTTTTGTTCACTTTTCAACCCTACAATTGATTTTTTTTCTCCCACACTCATGATGCTGAAAACCTTGTTTCAGTGTTGGTATAATAAATTTTTTTGTGAATGAAATTGTGATGTCATTTGGCAGCTTTTGTGACATCATAGCATGTTTAAACTGTCTTTTCCCTAGTGGCTGTAAGACAGCCTTGTCTTTTCACAGGTGAATCCTTTTGGAAGTGTTGGGAAAAAAATCAAATAAATCCCTTGCCTTTACATTCAATTCATTTATCAATTTCACACATTCTATTTTTAGAGTAACGAAGTCAAAAGTAGCTACCACATGGAAAAAGAAGGGTTGATCAGAAGTGTGAAGACCTTCAGTGATGCTGGAATTACTATACAGAAGATTGTTACAGATCGTCATGTACAAATTTTGAAATGGGTCAGGGAAAATATGCCTAAAACAAAACACTGTGTAGATATCTGGCATGTAGCAAAGGGTAAGTTTTCAACAAAAAATGCTTTTCATATGTATTTCATATAACACTCTTGGTTGTTTAAGTTTGATATGTAAGTCATTTTTAGATAGTTAAAATTGTTTATGAAGACCCAAGTTTAGAGGAAAACTGTCCTTTATAGACAGTTGTCCTTAGTATAGAGGTCAGCTACATTGCAAACTGCACCAGATGGGTTTAATCAATCTATCCATCATACAAAGATATGCTCCAAAGCAGGTTTGACTGTAGACAACTGCATAATGGTTGATAGTTGAATATTTCTCACTAATTTTGACATGTTTTTTTATTACTAGGATTAAAGAAAAAACTGACAGCAATATCCAAGGATAAAGATTGTGATGCCTTAACACCTTGGATAAAGAGTATCAGCAACCACCTTTATTGGGTAGCTGCATCAACTCCGTCTGCAGATCCTTCCCTAATGATGGAAAAGTGGCAGAGTGTAGCAAACCATGTACAAAACATACATGAAGGTCATGGATCTCTGTTTGAGAAGTGTTGTCATGGTGACCTGTCCGGTAGAGAAAGGCAGAAGAAATGGATTAAACCAGGTATTTGACAATACCAGTTATTTCAGAAATTAACTTCAACTTGCATAACAATGGTAGGGAAAATGTGTTGGGTCAAACGAATAATGGACACAAATTCTATGGACATGTTTTGTGAAAATAAACCATGACCATAGAAGAAACATTAATTATTGAAAATTTCAGTCCATTAATTAATCATAATTTTGAAATGAAAATCAACAAAGTGAAAAGTAACTTGTTATTTCCTGTTATAATTCTTGAACTCTCTTTACAGCAACCAAGGTTAGTGAAAGACTAGATGATGTCATTCTCTCCAACCAGATGAAGAAAGACATTCCTATGTTGTCCACAGGACAACAGACTTCCAGCATAGAGGCATACCATTCTGTCATAAATCATTTTGCACCAAAAATGATTGGGTTTTCATATCATGGGATGATATGTAGGTATGTAAGTGATACATGTATATTGATATGTATGTGTGTGTGTCAGAGAAGAAAGGATCCAATTATAAAGAGATTTCCAAATACCATGAAATTTAAGATTTGTGAGCTCCTTAGTTTTTAAGGGAATATAGACTTGGTATATTAGCCTTTTTGTGTTAAAATTCCTATTATTACTTTTTCAACAATTAAGCTATGATCATCTAACTTTGTAGATTATTTACACTTATACTTTGTGCTAGATTCAATGCCTACAACTCGCATTTTTTACACAGCTCTTGGTAAAGATTCACGTTGGAAGTATAACTTGGCTTTGAATTTGGAGTATGTTAATGACATTTGATGTATACCATGACTTACCTATACTGCATGAAGTTTAATTTACACAGTAAATGCGATGCAATGGAACATTTAATCAACTTATATCTTTTCCATTATATTTCACTACAGGTTGCAGTTAGCAGCCCTTCACTTTAATGAAAACCGCTCCAAATTACAAGCAGTCGATAAAGACGGTGTGTTGCGTTACCGCTTGGAATTTCCCAAATATAAAAAAGGAGAACATATCGTCAGGAAAGTCAAAGTTCATAGCACCTTTGGTAAGTTTTATGTATAGAATTTGAATTATTAGTATTAATACATTTGCTTCTCGTATATAAGTTTCAGTATATTATCTTAAGCTGCCTATCGTGACCTGCCAGACATTTAAGCGCACACTTAATCAACAGAATGTGTCATTTGAATGTTTTTAGGTAATTGTAACTTTTCTGTAAATGTAGAAATCGAATGTACAGTTAAAATATGAATCATGAAACTTGCATTTTTTCTCTCAGATTACGTGGAAAATCTTACAGAAGTTGTCATGAGCATGGCAGAAAGATCTTCACTAGCAAAGCAACGAATTCCTATTCCACCCACAGTTCCTCCACCGTTGTGTCATGACTTTCTTCACCCAGATATGTCGGATGCCATAGCAGGAATGCATTCAAGATTTTCTATGAACTTTTGAACTTAATTTTTGAAGTGAATACTTACCCTGCCGGTACAAACGTACCACTTTGATTTATGATGCTAATTTTTTTCTGAAATCCACATATCTATGTCGCTTACATTTGTTATTTGAATTTTTTGCCTGTTGAATTTTGTTGTAAAAAGAAAATATTACATAGAACAGCAAAAGAATACAAAAAATATTTATTACGATTTTAAATAAATATACAAAATATCACAGAGACTTTTGTCATTTATCCCAAGAATTTTCATGCTGCATGCTGGAAGCCAGTATATTCATCATCTTCAGCTGGGAAGTTGCTCCGTACTTTGCTGACAACACAGGATGGAATTAGAACCCTCACTTTCCTGCCCAAATAACCAAAGCACCACCTGACCAGTTGTCTGTAGGCAACATACCTACGTCGGCTGTAAAATAATGTAGGAATTTTAAATAACACCACAGCGCAAGAAATTCAATTTTACACGAATATATATCATTTACAAAATGAAATTTTATGCTGGGCAATTAAAATTTGTAAAAGCTTTCAAGTTGTTTTTTCCTGCAAAAAAATCAGATCTTTTAATTCCTTGTAGAGATTCTAAATCACAATTATTTAATGAAACTTATCTGACTTGAATTTTGTAAAAGTGTTTGTTTGGGACAGTAAAGACTTTGTAAACATTCCTGTAAACAAATACTTACTCTGGAGTGTCTTCCATTTCTTCCCCATACTGCTGTCTATATGCAAAGTATGCGGCCCTCAATACATGGACATTGAGACAGACTGGTTCAAAACCTGGATGGTCGATGACACAATTAACGTTTGGGACCTCTCTCCTGATGTCGTTAACTTGGTTGATTTCTCTGCAGCAAACAGATTCTGTCACCGTGGACATAGGATAGCAATTCCCACATGTACACCTTAATACAATAAAAATAACCATGGTCATATATTATGAATTTAACAGTGATTATCTGTTACTCAACTTACTGTCATATGTATTGTTCAACGACTATACGAGAATGAATTTTACTTGAAACTTCAGTCTATTTTTAACCTTTTTTCTTCATTCCAGTAATGATTATGATGCTTTAAAACCCTCCTGGAGATATAATCATGCATTTAAGAAAGATTATGTTACTGTCTAGACAAGTGTCATGTGTATTCAGAGTATCATTTGATCGAGCTCGAGAAGACCTATTGGTGCTATTGCACATGGTCTACAACCTATATTTGTTTATACATAATATCATAGATAATTTGATATCAAAACTGTTGACTCTATGGTCTAACTTCAGGTATAAAATAAGATACTACCATAAGCTATATGTTTACATTCTTACCAGTCGGTGTTACCAATGCGGTCAGCTTGGCTATCAACAGTTTCATCTTCGTTCTCGCTGTCTTCTACGTCGTCTTCATATGGTTCAAACTGGTACGGAAGAACCCCACAATGTGATGTCTCGTCAACTACATCGTTGTCTGAATCTTCGAAAGGCGATGATTCGCAAGACAAACGAAGAGCGCCATCAGTAGAGTACGAATCATTGTCGGAGTAGTCAGTACCGTCCATGTTGAATTTTGTGATTTTCCCTCGACGCGCTTCCACTTGTGACGTCACCAACACCCGGATGTAAATCAGGGTAATTTGATCGCTTGCTTGATTAACATCTCGAAGCAGGTGTGAATCGGCGCGTTTAGACGGATATATCTCGGAAACGGATGGTCGAATTTCGATGCGGTTTTCGGCATTTTTGTTCTTATACAACAGCAAATCCATTGAAAATCGAACCTATCAACATTCAGGTTCCTCTTTAACGTAGAAAAATTATTCAAGAATTTGTGGGTTCAGCACAGTCGGAATTTGTTTTAGAGAAGTGTGATTATTGTAGTAATAACTTAAAATATGTTAAGATTATCGAACGCATATTTCTTAGGCACTGCATGACATTTTTTCATTCATTTACGGATATTTTTTCTGCACATCTGCACGCATGTAGTTTCAAAAGTGAGGTTCACTCACGGAATCGGGATAAAAGCTGCCCAGGTTTACGTGCATATGACTCATATAAAGTATCATATTTCTAAGCAGTAACAAATAACAGATAATTTAAAAAGAACTACCTACACTGCCTTGTCTTCTGTAAAGTTTTCTTTTGTGCTGATTAATAAAAATATCAATATTGATAAAAAAAAATTTAAACTATAACTTGACCATCTGATCACCTGGCTCTCCTGCTTCGTTCTTAGAGTACAAATTAAAGAGGAATACTATATAAGATTGTGATTATCTTTCTCCACATAAAATTCTTAAAACACAAATATTTTTTGCTTTCGGAGAAAGCTTATGAATAATATCAATTTGCTATAATAGCTTAGTCATTATTAATCACCTTGTTTCCTTTTCTGACAGGTTGGTGACATAGGAGGCGTAATCGTCTTGTTTTTTCTGTCCTCATGCATTCAGTCTAGCATGGGATATGAATGTCCAGAAGACGCTACCGTATGTGAGACGACGTTAGTTATTGAACACAAGCTGACCATGATGCATCGAAAGGAAAAGAAGGTTTATCCATATAAGGGGAAACTGTATAGATATGACATTTCTGAACCTGACACTGCAACCCCTGTTCCCACTGATGAGGTCATGACCGCTGATGGCTGGGAGGATGATCGGTTAGTAGTTGTTGCAAATGAAAGCCTCCCAGGACCCGATATTATTGTTTATGTGGGTCAAAGGTTAAAGGTTCACGTCGTCAACAAACTTGCTTCGGACTCTGTGACAATCCATTGGCACGGTATTCCTCAGCACAGCAGCCAGTGGATGGATGGCGTCCCTTACGTAACCCAATGTCCAATCCTTGCCGGCCAAACCTTCACATATGACTTCATTGCAGAACCCAAAGGGACTTACTGGTACCATTCACACACAGGTGCTCAAAGAAGCAAAGGATTGAATGGCGCATTTGTTATAAAAGAAAAACAATCAACGATGGCAGAACACATCATAACTGTTCAAGGTTGGAATCACTACTGGGATGCCGATATGGGTCATCAGAAAATGAACTTTGGAAGTTTTGTGAATCGTGAAGAACAGTCTATTTCTGATTCTATCGACGGAGGCCATTTCAGTCGATTTTTCTTGTCCTCAGTTTTAATTAATGGTAGAGGGAGATATTACAGTAATATCACAACTGGAGAACACAATGATGCTCCTCTCTCTGTTTTTAATGTTGATCCAAAACTGACCTACAGATTTAGAGTCATTCATGTCGGAGCACTTTATCCCATTCGAGTCTCTATCGACAACCATGAATTGACAATAATTGCGTCTGATGGCTTTGATGTAAAACCTGTTGTTGCAGAATCGTTCATCATAAATCCTGGAGAGAGATATGACTTTACATTGACTACAAATGAAAATGCAGAAAATTACTGGGTAAGAGCCGAAACTTTGGAAGCAGAAGTTACACACCGAGCTGAGGCAATACTGCATTATAGTAACGGACCAAACCCTGAACAGTTACCAACAACATCAAGGAGAGCCTGTTTTGCTACCGAAAGATGTCTGGTCGTCAATTGTCCTTTCACGACCTTCCCAGCCAACACACATACAGACTGCCTAAGGTTCGACGATCTAAGATCTTTGCCAAACAACGACCCTGCACCTGTTCCGACATCCCCTGCTACATTCAAAGAGTACCATCTGAATTTTGCTTTTCCTGGAACAACGCAATTTCCTTCCACGATTAACGGAAAAAAGTTTAAGTCTCCACAAGTATCGGCTCTGACACAACCTTACGAAATCGATTCAACTTGCGACAAAGCAGACTGTGGGGAAGAAAGGTTATGTGAATGTACACACTCATTAAGCATTCAACACAATGATGTTGTTCAGTTGGTGCTGACCAATATGGGAGTTGGCACAGGTTGGTCACATCCTGTTCACCTACATGGTTATTCTTTTTATGTGGTAAAAATGGGCTATGCAACCTACGATATGACAACCGCTAAATTCATATCCCAAAATACAGATGTCGACTGTAGGGGAAATGGCGATATGACACAAAGTTTCTGCAACAACGCAACCTGGAGGAATCCTAGTTGGCTGGGAGACAACGTACCTGGACTTGAGTTGGCAAATGCTCCCAGAAAGGACACGTTGATAGTCCCTAGCGGAGGATACGCTATTATTAGGATCAAGGCCGACAACCCAGGTGTATGGATAATGCATTGTCATATCCAACTTCATTCCGAGGACGGAATGGTCATGCTACTTAACAACTCTTATGACAGACATCCGTCACCGCCTAAGGGGTTCCCTATCTGCCATGGATATCCATCACAGTATCGGGAACATTATGAGGACAGCTTAAAGATAACACCAGCTCCTGAGGTAGAACTGGTGACCCAGACCATCAGGGTACCTTCGGAAGGTATAGTATATTTTTGCCGAAAACTTTTAACGGTATCTAATTAAACAAGATTGGTGACCTATTATGATCAATGTAAAGTGTTGTTTTCCTCAATTTTAACATGTTTATAAAGAAACATGTGTTAGGGAGTAAACCCACAATTCGTAACGTCAAATTTCGCACTAAAAGTGCCAGAAATAATCTCGACTATCTAATAGAATAAGTATCTACTTATTTTTAGTTTTTACTTTTAAATTTCTTATCTATTGTGTAAATGCGATCAATTCCTATGCATCATACAAACTCATAACACAGTATTATGATAACTTATTTTCAACGTGTGTTTTTTTTGGCTACGTGAATCAAACTTCAATAAAAATTACAACATTCAAAATCTTCAGATTGGCATTGAGGTGATAAAATGCAATAAATATGGAAGAACTTTTACTGTATCGCGAAATCTTCTTTTTCAGAGGGATACGGAATGAAGACATTTTGGATCATGTTCACGGTTCTTGGTTTGATAATTCTGCTTTCTATAGCTTATATTCTTCATTTGCGGAAGGAGGTTAAGGAGTCCAAGAAAAATCGAAAATCGAATTACTTACCAGACAACACACAACAAACTACAGGCGGGAAAGACAACCCAGCATTTACAACCGTAACGAAATATTAATCTGTCTGTTGTTTGTCTTTAGAATCTTCCCACATTCATGTACATTATTTACATATCTGGACCTTTTGATATTGGCATATTGAAGTATACTTTATCTGTATGACACTGACCATGTATTCTATTTAGCCTGCAACATTGATTGAAAATCAAACAATTGAAATTTAAACAATTTTGTCGTTCAATCTGTGTTTACCAGACATTGACGTTTGCCTGATGACGGACGCCAAAATAATTGCTCATATTTTCATTGGATATAACAGCGAATTTATGAATTTTCATAAATCAACTTGTTCATTACAACATGTTAAATCGCTTATTTCAACAACTGTTTATATTTCTAAACATAATATTTATGTAAATTCTGTTGAATTGCCGCACGTGCTAAAAACAGTTGTTTTCCGTCACTGCCGAATATAACAAAATATATGTGACTGTTGTATCAGACAACGGCAGTGCCAGTTGCAGGATAAATCGCAATGTATATACTAACCACGATGGCTACTCAGAAGATATTGAAATTTTAAAACAGTAGGTGCGTTAATCCTTTATTGTGATACTGTCTACAAATTTCATGTTTACATGTTGGCTATTTTATATCAAAAACAGAGTGTTTCTGTTTTATAATAATAATTATTAATGAATATTCGCTCTAATAAGTTATTAACTACTATTAATAGGCATTTATTTGAATACTTATTATAATTCTACTCATAACTATTGGTATTACTGACAATAATATTGTTTTTGTCAAAAGAAAAAACAAAACGAGGCCCACGGGCCTTAACGGTCATCTGACTTCTAAAGATCTATATTTGGTATAGGCCACATAGGCCTATGATAAATTGCTCAACTATTCTATAGGTTACATAGAGACATGTTATAAAGAAATTTTCTTCAAACTTAAAATCGTATTCTTTATACATGCTACTACAAAAATGCCATTACTCCGGACCTATAACTTACCGAAAAAGAATTTTCAAGATCTCATCTCAACTGAATCAAGAGATTTTGAATATAGGTGAAGGTTAGTTATTTAAATAAATTGGTAGCCCCTCATTCACTTGTGTTAAAGAAGCAATATCAACAGCCTTGGTTTTCTTTCATTATTGAGATTTCAACATATTTGACACTTGTGGCCTTTAAAAAGAGAAAATGTTAATAACATGGCCCAAGCACTCAAGTAGTGAAAGGCGTTTTACACACATGTAACGTGTGACCTTGAAAATGGCTAATTCATATTGACAAACTTGGTTTCCCTTCATCCCAGGATGTCACAGGCCAATATATTAACATCATGGGCATTTTGGTTATTGAAATAACATTTTTTTTTTTTTTTTACATATTTGATCCCTGTAACCTTGAAAGTAAATCAATATCATTCATTTAAAAAAGTTGGAAGTCCTTTATCCATTCATGCTATATGCCCAGTAACAACACCCTGGGCCTTTTGGGTATTGAGAAGAAATAATTTGAATGTATTGTTTACCCACGGCAGACGGCGCACGACGGCGGACGAGAAACGATGGCTATAGGTCATTCTGACCCTAAAAAAGGAAAATATACGGTTGCATGTCCGGTAAAAACGTCTTTCCCTACACGAAAAACTATTAGGTACGAAGTTTTTTCATACAAAACAAACTAAATGGAAATAGTTTATTTAACTGTGTTCAGGACATTTGCAAAATTGCTTATTTTCTATTGCTTATCATAAGAACTTTTTTTATTATTTTTTACCCTCACACACACACACACACACACACACACACACAGACACACAGACACTCACACCCAACACCCACCCACCCACCCACACATATATATATATATATATATATATATATATATATATATATATATATATATACAATATTCCCGTATTATATTTGCGATTAGTTCATTAACGCTTGTTGTACGGTATAATTTTTTATTATTAGTCTAGCTCCCTTTTATTAATTGTAGTTATTGTAATCAATTTATTGTTGGCCTTAAGTTTATCACTTTTCTTGTCATTTGCTCCATCCTTTCCCAAGAGCCATGAAAAATTTACTTGCTTTCGCAATCACCTCTAATATTATTCTTCAAAATGGGAAAAATAATTTGTTTTTTATATACGAACATACCGTCGTGTATGTCAGTTATTTGTAGGAATATATGTTTTGAATGTTCTTTATCAATAAATCTGTCTGCTTGGAATTTCAGATTTTAGATTATCAAACAAGAAGCACCCTAGGTCTGCATCGCCAACCTGGTATTCAATGTGTCAATTTAAGAAATATATGGACATATTCACCAATGGCGTTCTAAGTGGCCACACCCAATCGATTTAAACCCATTTCTACAACAAAGAATTTACCAGAAGAAATCTTTTACATGATTCAAAACATTTTATAACTGTTACCTTCAATATGGGTCAATGTTATTTCTTTTCGCAAACGTTGTCTGTCATCCTAGGAAGCGTTCGCCTTGATACTATTCTTCTTCACCTTTTAGTTAGTCAAAAGCAGTCATTTAAACATTTTAACTAGTTCGACAACTGTGACCTTGAAAAAGGGTTCAAGTCATTTCTTTTCGCAAACTTTGTCGAACTTCATCCTGGGAACCTATCAGCTAAAATATCATTTGTACCCTTTTGTAAGTAAGAAGAAGTCGTTTTAAGATTTAAAAAAATTTGTTTCCAGTGACCTTGAATATAGGTCAAGTTAATTTCTTTTCGTCAGTTTTGTTTGGTTTATCATAGCAACCTACAAGCCAAATATCATACTTCTATGCCTTTGGGTAATGATAATCAGTAATTCAGTGGGTTTTCTTATTATTAGACTCCAGTGACCTTGATTATCGGTCAAGGTCATTTCTTTTCAAGAGTTTTGTCGAGCTTTATCCTAGGACCATTCCTGCAAGATAACATGCTCTAGGCTTCTATGTTATTAAGAAGTTGTTTAAAGGGGAAAGTTAACGCCGGATGGACGACAGACGGACGACGGACGCTGAGATATGTCATAAGCCTTAAGGCCAGGTGGGCTAACAATGTTAAAATGTAATGATAAGCGAATGCTTATTGTGCAGATATGAGAACTGTAAATTAAAATGCTTAATGTAACATGCAATATGTAACTCTTCTCTAGCATTTCTATATATTTAGAAAACATAAATGAACGAGTATTTAAATAATTTTGATAAATCACAAGAAATAGTGAGGTAGGTGAAAAAAGATTATTGTCCTTGTCTTGTCTACAAAATTTCAAAATGTATAACTTGATTCGTGAAAAAGTAAACACATTAATTAACTCAATATTGTCAACATTGTTACACATATATTTACATTAGATGTGTATTCATAGTGACACGTGTCGTTATTTGTATTGTCCTTGTTTTACATAAGCTGAATAATAGCTTGTCAATAAGCCTACTAGGTACAGTAAGGTTATAGCAATATCAGCTTTTAGTATCATTGATTAAAATGTTTCCAATTGAAACTATTCGCTTAAAAGCTAAGAGACAAATCATCGTCTGGTCATATTTTGCTCAATGCATGGGTCAAGCAAAAATTGAATTCTATGAAAAATAGCAGGTTAGGATATATTTGTCCAACCGATTATATTCATTTCTGCACACTTGTACCTGGTTCAATCAGAAGTGTCAACAAAACAATTCTAACTAGATTACTGACATTTAAGAAAGGGGCCAGCAATGCACCTGACTTTAAACCCGGAGTTAAACCGAGAATTACATCGATGAAGAATGACTTATATGTTAAATGGTATTGCACTTATTTTTCAAAAATGTGAAAACTTGATCTTGCCCTCGAACTAATCGACACTGATCATTTATCAGGCTACTTTTGACTCTGGACAATTTCATAAAATATAAATTGGTAATATATTTTCAGATTAATTCGACATTTGGCCTGGTGACCATACTTGATTATATTCAAATTTACTTCATAATCATGTTAAAAAATATTTGCAAATAAGATGACCTTGTCCTTTGACCTGAAGCAAACGACTTCTCAACTTTGCTTCATGTCATAACAAAAATATTTAGTGGTAAAATATTTGAAATTGTACGTTGACTATTGACCTCATGACCTTCACACCTGATTTCAGTAAAGTTTCATTAAGAAGTTTAACCAGTGGCATATTCATATGTTACATTGACAGTATATTTCTTTGACAGCATATTTTCTGCTCCATTTTTAATAACTGGCATTAACTTTGATTGTACCAATTCGTATGCAGTGTTTGCCAGCCGTTTAGGGTCTTACTTTGACCTTTGGTAAACTTTGACCTTGACCATAGAGACTTTTTAAAAATCCCAACTGCACTTTTACACATCACAGTTTATATGCTTGTGCAATTTCAGAAACTTTCATCTTCTGTGTTTCGAGATCACTCGGGAAACTAAAATGCTGATATACATTTGTAATAACACCACGATTACTATTGGGCAACTGCATTTTCATGTGAGGCCTTAGTAAGCATTAGTCATTTTTTGTTGTGTTTGCTTGGTATTTAGAATCTTTCAGATTTATATATCGAAATATACATTTATATGTGAACAAGGTTTAGAAGAGCTCTTAGCTTGTCAAAATCGGTCTGTGAGTCTGAGACGTCTTTAGATATGTCTTATATTTGTGAACCAGTGCAGTATTTGAGTAATCAATTGTATAAAATCTAGTTGACAGTTGGAAAACATTTGTTTCGTTTAATCGGAATCATAGATTTAAAATGCGAACAAAAGACTCATTGACATACATGTCAATTCACAAGCATTACGGGTTGCTGCGAGTGGTGTCCTGTGAAGCCACTTGAACAGGATTGAACGTATGGAATGTTTTACGCAGAATGTTGATAAGTGTCTGTGCTGTAATTAGTATATCCGGTAAAACCAATAATGCAGCTATGATAATAAGCACGGTTAGTCCACACTGGCCTATCACCTGGGCACTCGCACGTCCGTCTTCAGCACACGACTTCTTTCGCATCGTCACTTAAAAGAGAAAG